AAACCTTCGTGGGGGGGGGGGGGGTTGGGTTTTGGGTTTTTAAAACAAACAAACAAAATTTAGAATGAGATCTACTAAAACACTTCAGTAAGATAGTTTAAATGGACCAAAACAATACTACTGAGCAGTGTTAACCACTTGCCCAGGTTGACTTGGCAGGAGAACATCACAAGGTGGCAGTGTTGGGCCAAGGTTTGGGACATTCTGCTTTTGCTGCCTTGGATTAAAACTAGCTTTAGGCTTCTGTGGCAGCCAGTGTCTGTCAGTTCTTAAAATTGGGACGGGGGTGGGGGTCATACTGGAGCAGGGTGCAATAGCAGTGTTAGGCCTTTGGTGAACAAATGCATTATTTCCCTGTTGCTTGTATGGTAACATGTTAGTTCAGTACAGATGTAGCTTAAAGGTACAGGGGCTCTTTCACCCCAGTGTGTACTATGTAACCCTAATTGTGCTGTGAACTGATGAAACTAGGAGTTGCCAATCTAAGGCTACTGAAGCAACAGTGAATCTAGGTTCTGTGGGCTTGAGGGATGCTTTTAGAGCACTGATTGTCAACCCTGGTGTTCCTTGATATCTTTTCAAGCATGAGGTGATGCACATGATTAATCCTGTTCTGCATGCAAACTACACCCAGACATTTGAAATGGGGACCTAGCAATAAAAATATTCCGACCTGTTGTAGTCTTGGGTTCTTTGCAGCACAAGACTTGCTCTGTTCCTTATTCAAAATGGAGTGAAAACTAACATTAAGGAGTGCTTTAAATCCAAGAAGACTGATCTGCTGTTTTAGAGGCATAAGATACTCCATGGATCAAGGTACTAAATGTTGGTGATGTGGGGAAAAAAATAGCACAAGCAGCTTCCCACAAATGGAAACGGGGTTGGGTTTGTTTTGGTTTTGTTTTGTTTTTTTTTGGGGGGGGGGGGGGTTGGTTGGGGCTATAGCTTTAAATAAAGGATAAAATCTACTGACCCATTTGACAGTTATGTTTCACAGGCAGAGAGTTGCTACTAGACTACTCGGTTGTCCCTGTTGCATAAGCATGTTCTGAGACACTGATGTTGTAAGTCTAAATAACAACAACTCTCACTAGTCATAGATTTCATAGATATTAGGGCTGGAAGGGACCTCGGAAGATCATCGAGTCCAGCCCCCCGCCCAAAGGGCAGGAAGTCAGCTGGGGTCATAGGATCCCAGCAAGATAAGCATCCAGTTTGCTCTTGAAGGTATTCAATGTAGGTGCTTGAACCACCTCCGGTGGCAGGCTGTTCCACACCTTGGGGGGCTCGGACAGTAAAGAAATTCTTCCTTATGTCCAGCCTGAAACAGTCTTGTACTGGTTTATGACCATTCGACCTAGTCGTCATCCCTAGGGGTGCTCTGGTGAACAAACGTTCCCCCAGATGCTGGTGGTCACCCCTGATAAATTTATAGGTGGCCATCAGATCACCCCTGAGCCTGCGCTTTTCCAGGCTAAAGAGCCCCAGGGCTCTCAGCCTGTCATCGTAGGGTCTGCTTCCCTGACCTCTGATCATGCGCGTGGCTCTTCTCTGGACTCTCTCAAGCTTCTCCACATCCTCTTTGAATTCTGGAGCCCAAAACTGGACGCAGTACTCCAGCTGCGGCCTCACCAAAGCCGAGTACAAGGGGAGAATGACGTCCCCGGATTACTCTGATGACTTGCCTTTCCTTCTACTGTCACCCTACAAGCATTGCCAAATTTATTTGGCAGGTTCCCTGAAATGACCTGCTTTTTAAAAAGAGAAGTTCTGGCTGCCTTTTGCTTTTGCTGTGCAAGTCTTATTCCTGTGTCCTGGCATTTTTTCACAAGCATAGGGAAGTTTAGGGAAAGGGTTCTCACATAATCCAAGGCTCTTGGCCAGGCTTTCAAAGAAACAAGCCAGTAAAGCTACAGGACCTGATAACATAGCTTGTAAACCTGTTCCTTAAGGCTCTCCGCAGTGACCTGCTGCTGTGTTTTATTCCTTGGCTAACTGCAAGGTTAGGTTGAAGGCTGCCTGTGCGCTGAGAAGCGCTGTATCCCTGACATGATGCAAATGCAGTCTGCATAGGGAGGGTTTGCATGCAGTAGACAGGCTGGGATGTACCCAGATCAGCTTGCATGTCACTTCCGGCCACCAATGAGAGCTTCGCTGTCAGGAAGGAAGTGGAGCAGGGCCTGCTGCCCGTACCCTGGAAGCACACGCAGAATCAACTTCCTGGGGTGAATGCCACTCCTACTACCAGAGAGGAAGCAGCGCGGGGAGCCATGGGGTCCAACAGCAGGTACAAAGTAGCCTTGCAGCGAGGGTCTCGCTCCTGATTGCTCAGCCTCTTGCTTATGGAGGCCTTGAAGTTTGCAGAGCAGATTTCCTTGATGTGATACTGAGCCACGAGGTGATAGATGAGGTTCCCTTATTCCCCAAGGGTTGGGGTAACTTTCAAGCTAAAAGACATAGGCAGGGCAGGAGTTCAGACTGTTGTTTCCAGAGGCAGTGGGCAAACCTGAGATTTAGCAAGGGAGAGGGTACCTTGTTCTTCCTCTTTGCCGTTGGGACCCGTGTTTGGCTGGTGTAACCTTTGTAATTCAAATGAAGCTTTTTAAATTGCCTCTGCCCATGCAAGGTCCTGGCAAGACGCAGTGGGAATGGACCTTGCTGTTGCTGTGGGGTGGAGATTAAATTGGGTGAACATTGACCCTTTGTTCTGAGGCTGACATTTATCTTTCCAATTTCTCTCCGGGTGGCTTCTGTCAATGATGACCAGCCTGTTTGACAAGCAGGAAGCAAGTGCAGTAGTGTGAACTGTTGCTTTGACTTAGTTTGTCCCAGAATGAATAGCAGATAGTGAGGCTGTATTTTGATCTCAGATCTTTATATACCTTCCCCCCCTGCCCCCCCATTACTTCCACTTTCTTCTGTGGAGTTACTGTAGGTTGATACAGATGTGAGCTTGGAGTGTTTCCTGGGCTTATGCTCAACCTCTGGTTCATTGATGGGTAGGGGAATGATTGCATTGGTTCTTCTCTTGCAGCGCTATGAAGCATAAGTAATTCCAGGGGAAACTGTGGGGTAAAACTAGTGCAGGTCAGTGAAGACTCAAGACCACATTACTCTGAATGAAATAGATCTTTACCGTACAAGAAGGGGAGTTAGACCTGGGTTTATTTTCCAGTTCTCAGCTTCTGGTGTGTGCGCTTGATTTTCCCTTTTAAAGTGGCAATTGCATGCAAGGCTCAGCAGTTATGAAGTGCATTGACCTTACTCTGCTATGCTGTGAAAGTAACTTTTAGTATGCTGCACCTCCTGGTCACCTGTCCTATTGCTATCAGCTTCTGCAGGCCCAGGGGGAAGGAGGTGAGAATAAGTGCCTCATGGGGGAAACTAAGGATTTGCAATACTGTCAACTTTGGGAGTATTTTTATGACCATGAGCTACAGAAATGAGAAACTTGGCTTGTCTTTCTGCTTTGTCCATAAAGAGAACAAAAAAATCCATCGTGTCAAATTCAGAGCTGAGATGATGTTGGCATCTAGCGTCCATGAGCTGAACGTTTCTTTCTGTCCCTTTCAGGATGCATACAGGGTTCTTGGAGCTATTTTAAAACAGAGCATGTATAAAACAAATTCAGAATGGAGCCATGATGTATCATTTTTAGCAAGGCTGAAGCTGGCAAGGGAAGGGTACTGATAGAAAGGGAATATCTCAAATTAGTGCTGGAGCACAAAAAAAGGGAGAAGTCTTGATCTCTTTCTGGGAGGGAGGGTGGGACTGCACTCTGGAGGCATGGGCAGCTTGGAAGCACACTCCCTTTGGTGTCCAATAGATTACAGAGACAAGCCGAGTACACATTAAGTTTGGGCCACTGGGACCATTGTTATCTGTAGGCAGGTGTTATGTTTTTAGGGAATACAGAGAGAACACCATTCTCCGCATAAGGTCCACTATAAATGTTGTACCTCTTGTGGACCATAGGTGAGAGAGTCCTTTCAGGCTGCAATGCAGCTCTGAAATGGTTGCTTAGGCATGCAGATACCTGACATCCAGGCATCATGGCAGTGACTACATTAGAAATCCCTGCTGACTGCAGCGGAGGCTCTGGAAAGAATAGATCAGCTCTTCTGGGTCTAAGACCTCGACACAGGGGCCTTTCAGGAAATGCAATAGTGTTTTGCATTCACACCCTCCTTTTAACCAGAGCTGCCTCTGAGGGTTTTTCTGGTGGCAGTATAAATTGTGGGCTAGCGTAAATATTACTTCCTCAGAGGTGCACAGGAGGCATTGGTGGCAGGATAAGTACATGGTTCAGCTCCTGGAAAGTGAGAGCATTGCAGAACAAAGCCACATCCACCAGCCTCAGAAATCCCATCTTAAGGAGCTGTCGCTGCTGGCAAGGAAACTACATGGCTTGGACTCGCAGCAAGGTGAAATTACCACAACCCTACCCTGCATAACTAAATAAAGCTCCATTTCTGAACACTGCTTCCTTCACTATTCTATTCCTGCTTGAGCAGTGAGGACCTGTGACTGACAAGCTTTTCACTGCATTGCTGTTGGTTGGGTTATGTCATTTGCCAGCCGTTTCATCCCTAGTGGTCTATCACTGCTCTAACCTGTGTGTGTCGGGCTGCCCAGACTGTGATTGTTCTTTTTCATGGGGGTGTTTAAGGTCCTGGAGCTGGTTTTTGTTCTTTATTAGAAAGGAATGCTTGCAAGTTCTGCAGAATGCCCCAGAAATTCTCCCTGCAGATGGAGGAAGCTGGATTTGGGGACCAACCTTCTTTTTTGGTCACTTGTAACCAGAGCACCTCAAAGAACATGATGTTGAACCTAGTAGGTCTCGGCAAAGCATTTTGGCTTCAACCAAGTGTCATCTTGTCTGTTGTATTTGTACTGTCCTGGTGCATAAGGGTGCATATCCCAAAGCAGGGAACACTGGGCAGCTTGCTTTCTAGGTCCACACTGAAGGAAGGGCGGAGGTGGAGAAATAACACAGATGAGGG